CAGCATCACGTAGGGCTTTGAGTTACTGATTGGAATGAATATATGATTTCCGCATTTCCGCACAAGAACCACATACTTTATTCAAATGCGGAGCCGTGATTACGAGCACATGTACTTTCACTTCTTCGCATTCTTCCAGCGCTTCATGTCGTCTTCGGCGTGAAAGATGCTGAGTTTTGGCTTGTCGCGGGCGCAAACTATAAGCGCGTTCAACTGCTTGCACGAGAGGAGCAACCACTCCTCGGGCTTGATGTTGTTTTGCAGAGAGAAAGCCCTCTCACAGCCGACCGACCTGTGCGCCAAAGTTTTAATCGTTAGCAGTTAAGTGTATATATTCGCAGGAGGTATAAAGTAGCTACGACAGAGGCAAATGAGCGTAGGCTGGACGAGGATATTACCTGAGCGGAAACGCGTGTGTATCTGAGCGTATCGAAAACAGCGTGGGTATCTGAGCGCTTGGCCAAAATTACCAGTGGATTTCCCAACGCGCTGCAATCTGAGCGACGATGAATAGTTTTGCATATCGACAGAATATGAATAAAGAAAATGCTACAGTTTTTTGTTTTTCCTTTGTCGCTACGAGTACTGCGAGGGCTCCGAATGGCAGACGCTAGGAGACATCATGGGGCTGGGCAAAAGGGCCTGAGCACAGCGCCGGGGGTTGCGTCGATCCGGAAAGATGCAACCGTAGGGATTCCTATCGGCGACAAACATGTCAACGGTGGCGTCGTGTACTTGTGGCAAGTGTGCTTCATCGACGGCATCGACAAGTACTTCGACGCACAAGAGCTCGCGGCTCTCATTGATTTTTTCACAGTTCGTGCGCACCAACAACGCTGTCTGAATGCAGGAATCCATAGTTCATATATACATATCGTTTTTTCCAGAAGTTAGCAGAGCCAAATGGGCATACGCAAGATATGTGCGCCAACCGCGCGAGTACGGCACCGAGAAAGGCGGGAATCGAAGTCACGATTTGCGGAAGTCTTCACAGGAATCACCGCAAATTGCGGAAATTTGTGCGGAAGAGGGTCACAGAAACTACCGCAAAATGCGGTCGAAAACAGCATGTTTGCGGAAATTGGTGCGGAAATCGCAACCCTGCCGTACTGCGAATGCGCGACCAATGGAGAGGGGAGGGTGGGAGGCGGCGGGGGCGGGGGGGATCGGCCACTGAACGGCACGGAGGCGAGTTCGACTGCCATTCGCTTGCGAACAGCGAGCTTCTTTCCTTTCGCGTAATTCCTTAAATGACCTTGCCTGAGGCTCCTGCATGCTTTTGTTTTAGCGCAAGTGCTGAGCACGGAGAGCGGGCGGGGACGTCACTGAGATAGATCGCTCAAATCGCACTGGCTCACAGTCTGCATCGGCAGCTTGTTACAACTGTCACGACGACGATGATGATGGTGATGATGGTGGTGGTGGTGACGATGATGATGGTGGTGGTGGTGGCGAAATGCATCACTCGTCCACCTTGGCATCCCGTAAGGAGCCTCTGTGTATCACGCACGCCTCTACACAACAGGGCGATCGATTCCGAGCTGTCGTGATACCATTGCATGGATCTCGGCATGAACATTGTAGTAGTAGGCTGCCGCGACCAATGCTCTCCATAATAAATGTTTTTTTTGTGGTTATATCGCGTGGATATTAAAGTGTCGTAAAACCCACCACCACCACCCGACACAGACAATTGTCTGTGTGCCTCAAGTAAACAACACGTGACCATCAGCCGCTGCTTCAGCGACACCGGTGTTGAGTTGGAGAGTAAACTCACAACAATTCGAGTAACGTCACAGGGGCCGTCCATAAATGACGTCACACACCTAGGGGGGGGTCAGACATTTGTGACGATGTGTGACGAGGGGGGGTTGAGAAATGTGACGTCACACCAAAATGCGCAACTTTAAAGAAATATAGACACGTTCTACTTAATTAAATATACTTTTTAATAAATGTTTTCTCCTACAACATCAGAGTGCAGCGCCACATTAAATACGCACTACAATGACAATAGTTTAAAGTGATTTGAAGCATGCTTTATTTTTAAAATGGAAATATGGTTTGGGGGGGGGGGGGCAGAGCTTTGTGACGTCATATTTGTCCAAATTCGCGTGACGTCATTCATGGACGGCCCCGTAGTGGGTTTACTCTTAAACACAGCTGGTGGTGGTGCTGCACGTTACAAATTGGCCGTGTCGGGTGGTGGCGGCTTTAACGACGCATTTCTAATCACGCGATCTCACCCCCACGCACCTGTGTTGCTGAAACTCGCGGTCTCGGCTCGAGGCGAGGGGGGCTGCCCCCTTCCCTGTGAGGCTGCTGCTGCCCCCTTCCTTGTGAGGCTGCTGCTGCCCCCTTCCCTGTGAGGCTGCTGCTGCCCCCTTCCCTGTGAGGCTGCTGCTGCCCCCTTCCTTGTGCTGCACGGCGCTCCCTGTGGCGCTTTCCTGCGGCCCGCGCCGCTGAATGGCCGGAAGCCACGCCCGCTGCTGCCCGCCACGGCTGCCCCTCTCGCTCGCTCACTCATTCACTCATTCTCCCGCTCCACTCACTTCACTCGTTCACCCGCTCACTCACTCGCCTCACTCACCTGCTTCACTCGCTCACTCGCTCCACTCACTCACGCGCTCACTCACCCACCCACTCACCCACTCACCCACCCACTCACCCACCCCCTCACCCACCCACTCACCCACCCACTCACACACCCACTCACTCACCCACTCACCCACCCACTCACCCACCCACTCACCCACCCACTCACACACCCACTCACCCACCCACTCACTCACCCACTCACACACCCACCTACTCACCCACCCACTCACCCACCCACTCACTCACCCACCCACCCACCTACTCACCCACCCACCCACCTACTCACCCACCCACTCACACACCCACTCACTCACCCACTCACCCACCCACCCACCTACTCACCCACCCACTCACACACCCACTCACTCACCCACTCACTCACCCACTCACACACCCACCCGCAGTGGCGTAGCTAGGATATTTTGCGCCCGGGGACGAACTATAAGATTGGCGCCCCCCCCCACCCCCCCCGTCTAATCACATACCAAAATGTAATTAGATGACATGTAGGCTGTGTGTGGCGGGATATATAAACTTTTAGGTTGAGGTGTAGATTTGTGCAGTAGTTTCAGGCTGCCGCGCCCGCCGCAATAAGTTATAATGTGACGTTGTAAGCCTCATTTTGGCGCCCCTTTACCTTGGCGCCCGGGGACATATGTACCCCCCTGCCCCCCCGAGCTACGCCTCTGCCCACCCGCCCACTCACCCGCTAACTCACTCCACTCGCTCACCCGCCCACTCACGCACCCACTCACCCATCCACCCACCCACTCACCCCTCACCCACCCACCCACTCACCCATCCACCCACTCACCCACTCACCCACTCATATTCCCTGCCACACGTGCACTCGACGTTTATTTTGACACGTTTTGTCGACACAGATCTCTGAGTGTGCAGATCTCTGAGTGTGCAGATCTCTATGGTGTGCAGATCTCTGTGGTGTGCAGATCTCTATGGTGTGCAGATCTCTAGTACACAGATCGCTAGTACACAGTGCATGTGTCTGTTGCTATTTCAGAATCGGAATCTTTATATTTTGTACTGGAGGAATCCGATGAGCTCGAAAGATATTTTCACAGCTGTCCAGCACCGCAACAGCTTTTTCTTTCTCTCGTGTGCCAATTGGTCGAACCCTCTTCAGCCCACGGCCGCCTCTCAGAGACCTCCGTGCCGAGCGCTCCGTCGTCTCGGCCATCGCACTCCTGGCTCCGCTCTGACCACCGAAAACTCCCTCCCGACAACTCCCTTCGTCTCACGATCCCCTGGATTGTCCTTCCCCGCAAGACCTCATGCAGGGCCTCATGATACAATATTTTGTCTCTATAATTTGAAACCTCAGACCTCCCGTCAACGCCGCACCGCCCTCTCACGCGGTCGCACCGCAGATGCCCGACTAAGCCACCCGGTCTTCTCCCTCCGCGAGATTTTGGCCGATGTCGATGCAGAGCAACGACTGCAATGTCACATTCAGGTTGTCGAGTCGGATCACCTCCGTCAGGAGCGGCGGAGTCATCGCTGTGATGACTCCTTCGTATCTGTGGGTCGGGCATTGCGTCGTTATTTGTCGTTACGGTCTGTTCTGAATGACCGCAGGCGACACACTGCTGCTCGAGGGTTTTTTTTCCATCTCTGCATCAGATATCCGCATCTCCTGCCATGGTGCGTACAGATGCGATTTATGGTGGACCATGAGCTTCGTGTAAGATGGAAACCAGAGATCTTCTGCGTTGGGTCTTCTTGTAACGCAGTCGCACTTAGCTGCCGTACCAAGCCACCCTTTGTCGATGTTGTGGGTTTACTCTCCGACACAACGGTGTGCTGAACTTGTAACGAATTGGCATATTGTTTACATGACAAACAAACCTAGATGCTGGGCAAGCCGTGGCCAACAGCCCCGCCTGCCGGTGGCGCTGCGAGCCGCTTGCCATGCGGGGAAACTCGCACCGACTCGGCACGACTTCCTCACGAGTTGGCCCACTTCACTCCGAGCGGCGTTCCGTTCTCTAAGGAGAGCAGAGCTCCAGGAGTGGAGTCGGCTCCTCCCGCAGCGGTAGAGCAGCGTGCAGTAAAGGCCTGGTGCAGCCTGTGGCAGATAACATTCTATCCAAGGGCCATTGCCCGAATCGTCGGCCCGCGTTGTATTTTCCCATGACACTGCGGTGCCAATGATGCACGTGGTGGTCACGATTGAGGAAGACGACGTTGTTGTTGATGATGGAAATGCAGCGGTCACTCCGTGGCTGCAAGGCGGGTCACGTGAACCCATCCCATGCAACACAGGAATCGCCAAAACACCGATTGTGAACGCGCGTTTGGCGACGTGAATACTCGATGTGACCGCAGTGCTCCCTCACGGGCAGCACCACCCAACGACGACACTCAGCAGGAAACATCGCAGCCAAGGGTCTCAAGTGTTTAAAAAGAAACCGCGTTTACTGATCCACACACTCGTGTCGTCGGCAGTTGAAATCAAACGTGGCTAACTCTACGCTAGGGCTGAACGATTTGGGGAAAATATCCAATTGCGATTTTTCTGACAGATGTTGCGATTTGATTATGCGATTTTTTTTAAGTCAAGCTTTAGTTCAATATTCAGTGTAATAGATTTACAACATGTGATGGAGCATTACCACATGATACCATCAATATATGAACTGCTCAAGATATTCCAATGCAAGGATGAGAACTTAAAATATATGAATTGCTTCCAACGTATTTATTAAAATGTTTTAATTGAAATAGAACAATCAAACATAGAACAGTTGTTAAGTTAAATAAATAAAGTTATAAAAATCTATAAAACAATTCCAATAAGAAAGTAATGGGAGAATAGGGTTTTCCCCTTTTTTTCTGGCAACAAAACAGGTGTTAAGTTGATAAAACACCAAACCGAAACCTTTTTATAAGGAATCATGTCGCATTAACCACAATGCTTGTGGTCAGAATGCAAACAAAAAACACCGATAATATATGCATTGTTCTTGAAACCGATTGGTCCACACCAGAGACAGCTTTCTTTTGAGCCTCGTCTCAGACGGTGTGAGACCAGAGGGGAACAACCGAGTCTTGTGTTTTGGTACTGGCAAAGGAGGTCCCGTGAGGTAGAAATAATAGGACTTTTCAAATCGCAAAAAATCGCAGCCTTTGCAATTTGCTAATCGCATTGTTTAAAAATTACGATAAATCGATATGAAATCGATTAATCGTTCAGCCCCGCTCAAAACCTTGTAATTAAAATAAAAATTGGAATCGCGACGGCGACATCGAGACGCAACGTAACACTGCATGACAAACAAAATCACAGCAATTCTAGCGTCGGCCGCCTCGCACGCGATGGTTGTGGTGGTGGCCGCTCCTGCTGCTGCTCCTGCTGCTGCCGCAGTGTCCCCGTTACTCGGAGCTCGCTCCCAAAGCCCCCCTTGGCTCGCGGGCGGCGTGCAGCGTGCGGGGGCCAGGCGCGGTGGGCAGCTCCTCCGGCTTCACAGCTCGCCTCGTTCATTAAACACTCTCGACACTTGGTGACTTAATCACCCCATTGGGATCACACCGCACCGCAGCAGCAGCAGGAACAGCAGCCGCAGCAATCATCACGCACCCCGCTCCCCCCCCACGACTGCAATATAATTGGCAAGACACTCCTGAAAAAGGCTCATGAGACTCAGGATTTCCTAGGTAAACAACCGTAATAATTATATTCATAATAATCTCTAGAAAACACGGACAATGGAAATGCATAAAAAATCTTGGACCCATTGCGAACACTGCCATTTCGCAAACTTTCCACCAAACTTTAGCAGAACCTCTTTGCTGCCAACAACAACGTCCACGCCTCCTCCCCTCGGACCAAGCGCACGAGTTGCCGGATCAGGGACTCGCCACAATCACCGCCGTCTGCGTGGTGGAATAAAAGTGTCATTTCCCCGGGGAGCGTCCGCAGTCACGAGCACGGGGTGGAGGCGGCCGGCGGCCGCGTCCCGGGCGTCGTCCAGGCTGGGCAGAGGCCGAGGCGGTGCTGTCCGGCGTTCCCTGGGACACCCACAACACGCGCCGCCGTGTCTTGGCAGCCGGCTTCACTTGAACAAAGTTCAACATTTATACAGTGCACACATCCCACCCACCCACCCCCTCCACCTCTTTATATTTGCTCAAGTTCCTTGGCGACGAACAACACTGCACGTCCCCATTCGACAAGCCACGTTGCTCGGCCCGATCGACTCTCGCGGCTGCCTGGGCAACCACGAGAGAACATCGTCCCCAGAGTGCACTGAACATTATTGCTGCTGCTGCCTGCTGGGGTGGGTGGGCGGGAGGGAGATGGGAACAGGGCCAAGGCCCAGAAAAGTGATTTGTACTTAAAAACTTTCCCCCCTTTTATCAGTCTGGAAACAGACAGAGCAATGACAATGGGCATGTCAAAGTCAGACGTGCACTGGAGAGGGGGCACAGCGCAGTGGAAACTATTTCGGCGCCACGCTGCCAAACGTGGCGTCAAACACAGCCCCCCCCCGCCCCCGTGCATCACGGTGGTGGCAGCGCTCACCGACGTCAGCGGGGCAAAGCCGCGGGTCAGCTCGGTGGCAGGTGGCTGGCGTGGGACGGGTCGCGACCCCCTCGTGGTCGCGAGACCAGGCCGCTACGCTCCCGCCAGGAAACTTCTCTATGAGGCGTCCCAGGCAGCTCGCGCGTAACGACGGCGTGTCGACGCCCGCCGTTGATGTACGCACGTTGTATGCACGTTGAATGGATGTACGTGCGTCGAACTTCTTTCGCGCCGTACGTAGCCAACCGTGCTAATTGGAGGTGCGGGGGAAGTGCAACGAAGTTGTAAAGACAGAGCTCGCGACATCACTCGGCTCTCTGTGCACAGTAGCGACGGTGGCGCTGGGAAAATGGTACCAACTTTTTGTTTTGCATCCTTCATAATCACATGGGGACGGGGACGGGGGGTTGAGACAGGGAACGCACGGCGCTGCTCTGCGGTGGCCGCCGCTCGACTCGCCACCGAGCAGCGTCACCACCCGGACTCCGTCTTCACCAACCCACGCTGACCAGCAGAGTGAAGTATGGTCACTTGCTCGCCGCCATGATGGACACGCTGGAAGGGGAGGGGGGCCTTCATCCAGCAGTGGATTATTCTGCGTGTACGGCTGCGAGGAGTCCGTTGACATCGTTGTGCGCGTGTGCAGAGGGTGCCACGTTACACGCGTGTGGATTCGCGTGTAACGTGTGTTGTGACTGCCGCGTGGTGTGGGCCGTGCGATCGGTGGGGGCCGCGTGGTTTGTACTGTAGAAGAGTGCACACGCGGTTTCGTCCACGCCAAGTTTCAAACTGATGTGCAGGTTTTAACTTGGATCGTGCCCCCTCCGTCAAAGAACAGTGTTTTGTTTCTTGGCAGCGCAGCGCTCGGCCCTCTGCCAAAAAGCGAGATGTCTCGGGGGGGCCAGCGGTCTTCTCCATCGGCGGACCGACACGCGGCTGCGGTTGGTTTTGTGCCGTTAGGTGGACCCCTTCTCCGCCCGAATCTCGGTGCCAACCATCAGCAAAGTATAAACATCATTGCTGAAGACCGGAGAGAAGTGTGGGTATGGGTGGTTGTACAGGTGAGAGCACAGGGGGATTTTCCCTCTGTTTTCGGGGTCGATGAGGTCCCAGATTTCAGGGAGGCTGCAACCTGGCCTGCGAATCGACACAAAAACAAACGACACGCGTGTGCGTGTCAATGGCCGCGCAAACGCCCCGATCTCGCTCGCCCCACTCGCAACGTTGCATTTATACTCGCAATTCACGGTCATCTTGTTATATTTGCCAAGCAATCATAAAATCAGAGTTAGTTTACGACTGACCCTAAGTAAATGAGGTACACGTGTGACGATGATCATGCTTGTAAAGTTCCAGCGACAGACCAGTTTTATTCCAGTGTAGTTTTAGTCCTCGCTCCCAACCTCAGAACGGAGTCTCTGCTCCTGGCGCAGCACCCCCAGCCGGCACAGCGACAGGACAAACTCTACGTGAACCGGCAGGACACGCAGCGCCCTATTCATAGACTTATTTATTTATTTGGACCCGTTGCCAAAACTGCCACGTCGCACACTTTACACCAAATAACAGCGGAATATTGTTGATGCCAACGCACCCAGGCCTCTGGGCTCGAATTATAACTCGAGTTGCTGGATTAGATAGTCAGCGTAAACATGACGGCGTGAGAATTGGCGTGAGAAACGAGTTTCTAGAGTGCGGGCGCTCCGTGACAAAAGCAATAACGCCCCCCCCACGCGCCCCAGCGCTGGCCGGGCTCGGCAGAGACAGACGCCAAAGAGCCGCCTACGGGATCAACGTGTGCCGCCGCAATGGGCAGCTGATAACACGCGATACGCACTGTACAAACGGCAACTATGTAGGGTTATGGATTGAGAATGTGCGTGTCTACGAGGTTGCGAGGAGCGGTCATGTAGCAGTTAGCGCTATGAACCCGGCGACCCGAGTTCGATTCCCGCTCACGGCCAACACCAGTGACGATTATCTGAACAGGTCTCTTGCCTCCACTAGGTCGACGCAGCCTCAAATGAGTATCTGGTGCGGTGTGTAAACATCACCACTAGGGAGACAAAGGCGGTCAGGCGTGGTGCTGGCTACCCACCCCATTCGTGTGCCGTGCCGGCCTTCGTAGGTGCTACTCGCTAACAGCACTTGCCACCACAGTCTGTTAAGTCTACACGGGGGAGCTTTGTCTTTGTGTACGAGGTGTCGTCACGTGTTTGCTAAGCGTCACCAAACACCGTTGGGACGCCCTAGCAAACGAGACGTTTGATCACAAGGGATTTTCTAGGTGAAGTATTTTCTGAGCAACAACAACAATAACAACAACGACGATGATGACGACGAGGCCCAGGAGAGGCACCTACTTGGTCCGGCGTGTGCACCACGAGTCCTCCAGCACCAGGTAGTCCACGCCCATCTCCTGCAGGATCCCCTTCACCTCGGCTGCGCCCTTGCGGCTGTACACCGAGTAGACTTTCTTCGTGCGCGCTCTGTCCAGGCACGCGCGGTCACCACAGACCATCAACAATGTCGCGAGTCTTGCGGCGAATGCACTTTCCAGGGCCCTATTGTCCACGACAGCTGTTGGCTCCGCAGAAACGCATATTCTTCTCATCATCTGTAAGTCTCTGTGGAACCGCATCCTATTTTTTCTGAATTTTTTCGCAGATAAGATTAGTGATGTGAAAAGTTTGCCCGATTATCACCAGGGCTATCCGTGATATTTTGCCACGAGAATTTAAATCACAGGATCCGCCATATCAATCCCCCGCATCACGGGGGATTGATATGGCGATAGCAGCGGGCATGACGGTGTTGACTGGACAAGCACCGTCCGTTAACGAACCGACTGCGATCAACTTTAAAACACCCGATTGTTAGTCCATCACCCCCCCCCCCCCCCCGGGGTGTATAAAATGGGTACCATCTCGTGAGGGAAGTCGCGAGTGGTTTTCCTACGGATGGGAGTGAGGAATTCCCACCACTGGCTCTGCAGGGCTGTTAACGGCATTTTGAGCACGAAATAACTTTTAATTGGCTATCGCGATCAACTTAAATACAACAAAAAACAGGAAAATTACCAAGAAGAACCAAAGCAATCGTGGTGCCATGGACGTTACTCCACCTGAGACCGGCGTCTTCGTAATGAGGGTGGTTTACGATCGCCCGGCCTGTGGAGAGTTTGATGCTGGCCATTGTGGGCATGGCGCCGGCGAACACGGCGTCTGTGGAAGCACCACACGCCAGGCGCACCACGGCAGCAGCAGCAGCACGGCAAGCGGCTCCAGTTACGAGCGTCGGGCGGTCGCTCACACAGACCCAACGCGCGAACCGCATGGCAGCGCACAGAGCTCGTAGCAACGTCATCTCAAGTGGCTTTGTTCGTTTAATCGGAGGTGGCATGATGTGGTCCCGAGCGCGAGACTCACAAGTGGATCCCTGTGATTTCACGATCGTGGCCACGTCCCGCGTTGAAACCACTGACCCCATGGGATGGTTAAAATGGGCACCGCTTTGCGGCGCGGCAAGGGCGGTCGCGTTAACTGGCCCTTCCCACGGCAATGTACAATTACCATCAACGCCTCGTGCCGCCGCTGGCAACGAGAACCTGCCCCCGCTGACCAGATCGAGAAGGGAGACCCACCTACGCGTACGAGGCATCGCGGCCGACAGGTGGAGAAGCGCGCCGGAGGTTGTTTGACTGCGCTCACCTTCCGGCGTGTGGGACTTGATCCACGTGACGAGGTCCTCCTGCTCCACGTTGCTGAACTCGCCCACGTTGGCCCACTGCGCGTGGATGTTGCTTATTCCCTGTACGCTCATGAGGGCCACCGTGACGAGCGCCAGCGCGTGCACCAGCCACTTGCGACGGGGCTCCCCCAGCGTCTGCCGCAACGGGGGAACGTCGCACGCGCCGTCCCGGTTATGGGACGGCACGCGGGACGGCACTAGAAACGCGACGGCGAGCCGAGATGCGCGTCCGATCCGATCGCACGTACGGGAAAATGTGTCGCGTGCACGCGCAGACATGGCTCGCGACGTGTGCTGGTGACGCGGCCGTCAGTTACCTTCTTCGAGCAGAGCAGGGAGGCCATGAGGCACAGGTGGGGCGTGAGGAAGAGCTTCAGCCTCATGATGAGCACGGCCATGACGGCGAAGACGATCAGCATGAGCGCGTGGAACACCAGCTGCCCAAAACCACGCAGCACGCACGCTGTCAGCAGCTACGCGCACGCACGCACGGTGTCAGCGGCTACGCACACGCACGCACGGTGGGGCAGGCGGCGCTCCTAGGCCCCGGCGGGCTGGTTTGAGAGCGGCCCGACCACGCAGCTCGCAATGACGCGCAAACCTCCTGATGGTTCCAGCTGCCTCTTGCCCACCCACCTGCTCGTTTACCATTCACGCGACGCGACGTTCGGTTTGCCGTGAAAAGAGACGACTCACCTCGGCATGATGCGACTTTGAATCGGCCGGCCTGTGGAACAAGAAGACGCGTGGGCACTGCGGTCACACGGCGAACTGCGACACGATTCACAGCACCGTGCGGTAAACGGCCGATTTGAACAGTGCAAAATTTGTTTTAAATTGTGTTCATTACATAAAACCAGGCGGTTTTGCCAGTGGAGATTTTTCCTCATCATTTATAAAATTACTTATTTTTCAAATGTTTACAATCAACCAATCACAAAGAATGTTAACTTGCACAATGTTAGTAACAAACACACAACGGTTTGACACAAATGACTGCTAATCCCACAATTAGCATAGGCTGGTGCAACGGACGCACGATTGCCGATGACGCACTTGGCACACGGACACTCGTGCCGGCTGCCGCTCGCACTCACTCACTCTCACATTCAAAAGACAAAGAACCCCCGTATAGCCTTTAACAGACTGTAGGGGCAAGTGCTGTTAGCGAGCATCTATGAAGGCCGGCACGGCACACGAGGGGGTGGGTGACCAGCACCACACCCGGCCGCCTTTGTCTCCCCAGTCGCAAAGTTTACACACGGCGCCAGGTACTCATTTGAGGCTGAGTCGACCTTGGGGAGGCCAAGGACCGGTTCAGGTAATCGTCACTGGCGGTGTTGGCCGTAAGTGGCAATCGAACTCAGGTCCCCGGGTTCCTAGCGCAGCGAAGCGCTAACTGCCACACTACAGCTCACACTCACTCTTACTCACTCAGTGACTCACACTCGGTCACTCACGTCTCGCTCACACTCGCTCACACTCGCTCACACTCGCTCACACTCGCTCACACTCGCTCACACTCGCTCACACTCGCTCACACTCACTCAGGTTCTGCAGCAGCTCCCTTGAGTACCGTGGCATGATGAGGGCTCAGCCTTTCCTTATTCATCTACACAATAATAAACAATACGTTAAAAAATTGCAATTAGGTTGTATTACTACGCTCGTTTACCCAGCAAAGCATCACCGTGTCTCACGAGGGAGGGTCCTGCCAAGTTTTCGCAGTAGGGGGTGATGATTACCATGAATATTGCATGAGACATCCACTCCACAACTGTACTTGTGTAACACATGCAAATTCCTTATTTAATTTGCCCAGAGTAAGAAAACATTTTTCAGGAGGGTCCTGCATCGGGATGTTTGGCCAATACCAGTTACATTGTGGGTGTTTAGAGACCGGAGAACCAGCAGGAAACCTCAGCAGAACAGGGCGAGAGAATACAAACTCCGCACGGGAAGGAGCTCGCTCTCAAGTAAGATGTGCACAGGATGATCACACCAAGGTCTCTCTGCATTCACCGTAGCGTACTATTACCCAGCAGGACGAGGCAATGAAATGTTTAACAGCACGGTTTTAAAGTCACAAGAGAATGATTTTACAGTGGGCCGAGTATCACTTCTGAAGGAGAAACAGAAAAATCGATTCCGTGCCGAGCACCACCACTGACTTCCCTCCGGAAGGAAACAGCGCAGGGTTCGTGTATTCGTGTACGAGATGTAACCACCACGGTCGTCACGCCCTCACCTGGGAAGAAGAAGCAAGCCCTCTGTCGGGGACTCTGCTTTCAAACGGCACAAGGAGAGGAATTCGTAAACGCTCTTTACACAAGACACAAATCACCGCGTGCGTATTCCGAGGTGCTTCGTTACAACATAATTAACGTAATTATTATGTGAATAGGTTTCACCCTTTCTGGCGATAACACAGGTGTTAAGGTGTTAAAACACCAAACAGAAACCTTTTGCAAGGAATCGTGTCTGCATCAACCACACGTACCTGTGTTCGCCTTTTGGCGTCCTCTGTTTGAGACTAGGCTGTAAAGAAAGTTGTCTCTGGTGTGGACCACTCAGTTTCAAAGACGATGCATCATAGACTACCAGAGCACGCTTTTGGTTTGCATGTTCACCACAAGCACGTGTGGTTCATGCAGTGATATAATTCCTTGCAAGAGGTGTCTGTCTGGTTGTTTAAACATCTTAAGACCTGTTGTATTTCCAGAAAGGGTAAAACCTATTCTTATATTTTGATATGTAACTATTATTATGATGATTTGGCTTACGGAGAAGGAGTGCTCCTCAACAGCGCGAGTTTATCCTTGATTGCCTGCAACAGACAGAGTACGCGGCTCGCTGGCAATCCGTTTGTATGTATGTTAGTATGTATATTTGTATGTGTTTGTATGTATGTTTGTATGTATGTATGTTTGTACGTATGTTTGTTTGTATGTATGTTTGTACATATGTTTGTATGTATGTTTGGATGTACGTATGTTTGTATGTACGTATGTTTGTATGTACGTTCAACTTCGTTCGCACCGCACGTAGCCAACCGTGCTAATCGGCCGCACAAAACCACAGCCGGGGACGGCGACAGCGTAGTGTGCTTAACGTCGCGCTGTGCGGTGCGGGCGCCCCCCCCGCCCCTGACCTTGTAGACGATGATGGCGAACACGACGAGGACGACGGGCAGCAGCAGCGTGGCCGTGTATTTGTGCACCGTCTGAAGTAGACAAATAGAGGGCGCGCAGCGAGAGTGAGGAGGCGATCACCGTGGCGCGAGCTCACGACGGCGGGGCCTTCGTTCCCCCCTTCCATTCAGGCTCGTGAACGTGGCTTCGCTCGGCTGCTGTTGCCACGACGACCCCCCCTCGTACCCGGGAGGCGTCGGACTCCGGCGTGAAACTAAAACACGCGAGAGCTTCGTTAAATTTGCTCTGTGCTGCCGTCGTCGCATTCAGAGATTGTGGGCGGCCCTCGTTTTTAATTGGTTCTTCTCTGAAGCCTGGCCGTGACCGCCGCGTTTTAAATGAAACCCTGGAGCATGCATTCACAGGCGTATTCGCTCGCAGTAGCACTGCGGACAACCAGACGCTGGGATCGGCATCCACTCTCTCCGCCTTCAGTTTAACACGAAGGATTTCGCGCCCAAAGTTATCCACAAGAGGTTTTGGGGTTAGATCGCGGAAATATAAATGCGTCGTTAGACCCGCCACCACCTGACACAGCCAATTAGTAAGCCGTCACGTAAACAAAACACGCCAATTAGTTACTGGTTCAGCACACCGGTGTGTTGGAGAGTAAACCCACTACAATATTTACAATTAGAGTACGACGTTTCGCCAGTCATTACAACTAGCATCATCAGGCGACAGCCAGAGTTTGGGAGAAATCCTCCTCCTTCGCCAACCCGCTGTGACTAGCAGGGTGAAGTACAGTCAAGTAACAACCTCCTGCAAATCAGGCCCGACATCCAGCAGTCGATTGACAAGGCTGCGGCGTGGTGTACGTTTCGGCAAAAGCTGCGACTGCTCGACCGCTGTATTCTGCCTGTGGGTGTCTCAGGAAGCACGGCGCTTCGGAGGGGAGTCACCTGATATTCCATGAAGTCGAATTCGGGAGCGCAGGTGTACATCTGTGTGTCGAAATCCTTGTAGCCCGTCAGCTTGGACTTCAAGATGTTGAAAATGTGGGCCTATGGAGATGTCACCAAACAGAAATCAGCGTTGGCACCTTCACGCATGTCTCTGTAACGTGAAAGTTGAGTGCAGAGTCAACGTCTCTGTAGCGTTAGAGTTGAGTGCAGAGTGAACTTCTCTGTAGCGTTAGAGTTGAGTGCAGAGTGAACGTCTCTGTAGCGTGAGAGTTGAGTGCAGAGTGAACGTCTCTGTAACGTGAGAGTTGAGTGTAGTCAACGTCTCTGTAGTGTTAGAGTTGAGTGTAGAGTCAACGTCTCTGCAACGTGAGAGTTGAGTGCAGAGTGAACGTCTCTGTAGCGTGAGAGTTGAGTGCAGAGTGAACGTCTCTGTAACGTGAGAGTTGAGTGTAGTCAACGTCTCTGTAGTGTTAGAGTTGAGTGTAGAGTCAACGTCTCTGCAACGTGAGAGTTGAGTGCAGAGTGAACGTCTCTGTAGCGTGAGAGTTGAGTGTAGAGTCAACGTCTCTGCAACGTTAGAGTTGAGTGCAGAGTGAACGTCTCTGTAGCGTTAGAGCTCACGTCATCGGCCACTCCCAGCAGGCGGCTCCAGGCCGTCTTTATGACGAAGGTGACTGCGAGCCACATGCCCGCTTGTGCCACCTGCGGTGTTTGCGAGCACGTGGGCACAGGCACGCATTAGCTCGCTTGGCCAAGACTAGATTATATACACACACGTTCGTTTAAATATAGATTTGTTTGGCGAGTTGCTTGCGGGAGTGCAAAGTGTGCGTATTCCCACATCTTAAAAGATGTCTCGCACAGCGTTGAAGAGTAGGCCAAATGCCCTTTAGAGGGGGTCCTTTAGTGCTCCCTCTAAGAGACCCTTTCTGCCAGCAGTGGCACTAGCAATTTATTGCAAGCCTGTGCCTTGATTACTCGTTGTACGGTTTGGCAGTGAAAACAAATTTTTTATTGAAAGAAGATATCTGCTCTATACGATAAAAATGAGAATGGAACGGGAAAATTGACTTGGAGAGATATTAAAGAGGAATGGATAATGAATGTTTGTGAACTATTTGCGTTTGTCGGTGGCTACAATCTGCACGATGCAGGCTTTACTGAGAGAGTGTAAAACACCAACTCACCCATCTCAACAGGTCAACCCGGGAAATCCTATTCAGCCACGAATGCAGACTGACGACCACCTACCAGCAAAACAAAACACCAGGTAACAAAACGTGCTTAACGGTATTTTTAAGGCACAACTCGAAATCTAGAAAACAAAAATAAATATCAATGTAAATGTCTCAACACAGAGAGAGCACAATGGGCTCAAAATGCGTGAATGGATCATAATTTGGAAGATGCAGAGTTGGCTGGTGTTGCGCAGCGGATGGCAGTGGCGGACCCAGATGGCGACGAGGGAGGCGGCGTAGAAGGAGCTGAGCAGCATCTCGTTCCCGAACATGAGGGTGCAGGAGACGACGAGGCACAGCTGTCGAGAGACGCGGAGCGCAGCGTCACTTTCCTGAGGGCCCCTCCCCCCCCCCATCAGACAGCCCCCGCGGCACCGCGCGCTTCGAACAAAACAGGCGATCGTTCCAATTCGCGCGCTCACCACGTTCAAGAGAACAAACTTCTTCATTTTCTCGGCATCGATGTAGCCCAAGATGTAGACCGCGAAAAGGCACGCGACCTGAAACAACGAACAGTGCATGGTCAGTGACGCGATAACGACGCCGCTTCCGAGGCCACGCGCGCAACCGACTGCCGGTTCGCCGTTTGAAGAACGAGACTCGACATCGGTGTGGGCGGCGAGCGAGCGAGCGAGCGGGCGGCACCTGCGTGAGCAGGACGAACTGTGCAAACTGCCAGCACAGCACGAAGCAAACGGTGGCGCCAGCGAGCACGCCCAGGGTCAACTTTTCCACCTGTGGCCTCCTGCACGCAACACACGACGGACGGACAGGCAGAGGCGCACACGCAACTTGCAGCGGACGTTTATCATGGCGCCCGTTAAACTGATCCACAGCGGGCTGCACCACGATGTTTAATTTTCCCAGAAAACTTGTTTACCCCAAAGTGAGCCAGGAAACCGCAAAGAAGAATGAGCATGGCCACTGACCGGAGAACTCTGGTAACCAGCAGCATCTGCAGCACCAGGAAAGGGTAGGAAAAGCTCTCCCGGAGTGGTGGGGTCCACATGACTCGCGTTGCCTGGGGCAGCACAAAGACCAATCAGCAAACAGCGCCGTGGCGCGGTGCCATCGAGACTCTGAAGGTTGCCCTGTTTCGCTTTCTGGTGCTCGAGCAGGTGAACCTCACCTCGCTGTGGTTGAAGAAGAAGGACAGGACTGCCACAAGGCCTCCAGCGACGCTCCCACTGCAGCAAAACAACAAGCAATGTTCGCTATGCACTTGTAAAATTTCTATGTCCACGCGACAACATCTAAAGTGCTTAATTTACTTTGTGTAACTTTACACGGGCTAAATTTGCACGGGCATTGCGAGGAAGTTCTAATATTCACGCATTGGCATCCGGCACTACTGATTCAAGGATGTGTTGCCAAGGCCAATAAATCAGTAGCGTATTTAGAAACGAACTTAAGCGCCAGCAGGAGTTGGATGAAAGCGTTTCCAGTTGTCAGTGGTAACTACCTCCTTGGGAGACACTTATCCAACACATAAGCGTTGCTACAGAACCTGTGGTCTGGCCAAAAGTGAGAGATTTTACTTTACACAGTCAAGCATACAACAAAATTACCCTTATGTTTTACATTCGTGAGCTGTTGTTAAATGTGTTTTGTTTGAATGTTAAATGTAACGATTCATCACTGCAACTTAATAAGTTGAGCATGTCTGGAATTCTGCTTTCAACGGACTTGCGGGATCCCCACAGAGCAGCAAGAGGTGTGGCGACGCATGGGTGGCTTTACCTGAGGTATGTCCCATAGAGGAAGAACACGGACATCATCAGGCCATTCAGGAAGAAAACCATGTTGACGTAGAAGTACGAAATGTCTCCCATTCCTGGACAGACACAGAGAGGGACAGCCACGGTTTTCCAGCAAGCACATGCGAGTGTAATTTCATACACGAGCGTGTGCCATGTCTGTTATGAAATAAAACATAGGATTTATTGGTTAAACGCTACAGTTACAAGAATTTAACCATCGGCTTTCATTGATGTGCTGGGAATAAAGAGACGATGATTAATAAACAAGAATCTGCGAGAGAGGGAATGCCGCTCGCAACGTGACCACACGACCCTTGAGGGCTGTACCAAGATAAATCATCAGTCAACACTTGCCGCCACGGCCTCCTCCAGATTCACAGATCCGTCTCTCCACCTACAACAACTACGAGCATCCCATCGGTCTTCTGAACATGATTATCACGGCGTTCTGATCGTGATTATCTTTTCAGCAACATCGGTTTCGACATTCAGTATCTCATCAGCAGTCAGGCTCGCTTAAAGCATAGCATAGCTGGTGAACCGCCCAAAGTCTGTATGTAAATACGTTGAGATTCTTTCGCACCGTACGTAGCCAACTTTGCTCATAAGAGGTGCGAGGTAAGGAAAATAACCTAAACACAGAACGCAGTTTATAGGCAGGGACCATTTCTGTTAAATAGGGGTCCTAGTTCAAGACCAACATTTATAATACACAACACGTAAAAAAATCGTTAAGCGTTATTGTTAAGCATATGAATTTCGAACTCATTCCTGCGGAGGGAGCTGGTAGGAACGTTGGGTTGCTCGGTCAATGGCTAGGGTCAACGGCAGCGTGGTGTATTCTGCAAATATGCCCGACTGTGAGGGCGAGCACAAGCCGGCGTGAGTCGGTTAAACGTTGAGTTTTATAAGGGCACCACGAAGTGACCAGCCCCTCCCCACCCAGCCCCACCCTCCCCACCCAGCCCCTCCCTCCCCACTCAGCCCCTCCCTGCACAACGGACGGACACAATAATCCCCTGTGGGCTGGTGTAACCAGGAGGTTTCTACCAGTATAAATAGTGTGCATGCATGTGTAAAGCAAATAGGGTGGTATACTACACCGCCTGACATTGTTTATCAGGGTGGAACCACGTGTCTGCGTTGTGGATATGAATTGGCAAAAACGTCTGCGCTGGGGGTGGGATGCGTGAGCGGGATGGGTGGGAGGGGGGCGATTGCCAACACGGCCACTGGAGTGCTCTTCACGGCGACCCAGGGGAAGTCCTAAGAGCAGTTGGAGGGAAGCTGTCAGGGCCCATTTTGGAGGTGGCTGCGTGTTTATTCTGCTGCAGCTGTGCCATCTTGCTGAGGGGAGCGTGCGTTGGTAGCGGGGTGCTGTGGGCGGAGGCATCAGCGGTTTTGGCCACGGTGCCGTGATGATGAACCGTGCACAAAGCAATCGTTGTGCCGAGTGGAAGCCGCATACCCTCGCAGCTGGAGATGGCACTTAGCATGTTGCCACGATTCACGGTCCAGCACTGCACAGTCTGGATTCCCAGGCTGTTCGTCACAGCCAGGTACGTCCGGTACATGCCCCCAAGAATTACCTGGTGAAAGTAAAATTTTCCTTGTTATTCAAAGTGAATGCTTTATTTGGAACATCTGTAAGAGTTTTTAAGTTGACTTTATTTAACTAGGTGAGAACTCAAGAGGCCAGGATGAGTCTCATTTGCAAGAGTGAACCGTGTCACCCAAGTGACAAAAGCAAATCAATAAATAAGAATAAATTACAGCAATAGGAGCAAAATAAATACAACAGAAATCAGGGCTAAAACGACCACAATATTGCAAGTAAAGCTTTAAAAAGGTATTAATAATGTATAGCTTCAAGTCATTCAGAAAGCCATCACACTTTCTCCAGAAAACAGAGAGCGAGGAGGGGATGTTCTCGCCTCTGGGTAGAGGTTGAACCGCTTGAGGGTGTTGATCACTTGCGGGTATTCGGTCAATCGGTCGCGCATGATCATGTCCAGGCCAGACCAAAATGTGGGCGCCTCTGCAATGGTCTTGTAATAGGAGTAGTACAGGCCCTGCACACGCACGTAGAGAACAGCAGCAACAGAAGTAGCAGCGTACACATCATGCCCTACGCTACAGCCAACCGTACACTAAGCCATCAAAACTGATTAGTTATTAAATTATAGCTGTCTTGGGGAAGAGGTAGCACAGTGGTTAGCACAATGTGCTCCTAACCAAGTGACCTGAGTTCAAGTCACAGCAGCCAGCATCGGTTCTAAGTGATATCTGAACCAATGATTGGAAACACCTTCACTGACCCACACTGAGCGGCATGGTGAAGTATGGTCAAACAACCCCCATGGCCGATCCAGTATGGGGAGCTCTTCGTAATCATAATGCCGCCGACTGCCAAAGGTCATACATGATTACATTTACTGTTGCTGTATACATCTTTATTGACATTCCATTTGAAGTCTAAAAGTGTGGTCCACCATAATGCGAGCACAGAGTGTGTGATGGAGAGTTCATGATCCTCTGGGTATTTAAGCTACACAGCGTTGGCGTGGCGGTCAGCACGACGCTTCGCAAGTCTGCACGGGCACCGTTGGCAAGTTGCATCTCAACTATGCCTGGACTATACTCATATTCATCAGCACGTGGGAGGAATGTATGACCGGGCATGGTGGTGGTGGTGACGGTCACATCATGCGCTGCTGTGCCAGTATTATTGGTGCTCGCTAACAAGAGTGGAGTTGGCTAAATGTGTGATGTTTTTTGGTGGCCCTGAGACAGTAGTTTAAATTCCACATTTGCATGGCTGGGGTCAGTATGTCCACAAGATGAACGCCATTGATTTCAAGATCAAAAACATAACCCGTGTGCAGATAATTAAATGGCAAATTTACGAAAATAACATCAGGGGGTAGATCCTCAGCGTAGCGAGGTGAGCGAGACAGCCAGGCCCCGCAGCGAATTCCTCACCATCTCGGTCCGGAAGGTGAGCTCCCGCTCGAGGGTCGACAGGTGGGAGAAATGACGGTCATTCTCAAACAAGCTGCTCAGATGGTACCTGACACCACCACACAGCAGAGGCGACCGTTAGCACCAGAAGCGAAGGGCGGCCACGTCGTTCACGCTGGTTAAGCTACACCACATTCCTGGGAGGCTCATTCAGAACACACGGGGCAGGAAGCGGCAGTCATTCCCTCTCCCCTGCCAGCCACTCCCCTGCCCGCGCGCTTCATGGGTAGCCCCGACTTCAACATCTGCTAAAAACGAGCTTCTTAGCTCATCGGATTCCTCCTGCAGTGCACATAAATATTATTTTAATGTATTCCGGGGTAAGTCAATCTCTCCGAGTGGCTCCGCTCCCCGAGTCGCCCGGCTTTTTGCCCCAGGTTGTGAGCCACGGGTCGTTGAAGGGAAACAAAAGCCCCAATTTGGTGCAACGTTTTGGGGCAACCGAGAGAGACTTTCTGCAATACCGGGACTGTCGCGGGCCACACAGCATGGCGCCTGGTAAGTAACTCTGCAGAAACAACAGGGCGATGAAAAGAGTGCAATACGTACCAGTGCACGAGTCCAAAGGCTCCAGCTGTGGAAAGAGAACACACACACAGAGCGGGCTGATTTAACAGACATCGTCCGCGCCCGACTCGACTCCTTTTGAGCTCCCTGCTAGCGGGACATCTTTCGTCCAACAGCGGCGTGAGTCGAGGCCATTGCGGGGCTGCGCCGCTACCGCGTGGAGGTGGCGGTGGGTGGCGGTGACCTCTCTGGCGCGCTCCCTCCTTGGGCTGCGGCTCCGTCGCTAGCCTCGACCACCGCCACCGCCACCACCACCACGGTGGCGGTGTTTCCCACCCGCGCCTCACGCCACGCCAAGCCGGGAGCGGCCTCCTCCTCCACAAGGGGCGCGCTGGGGAGTCGGGATCGCCTCCCTCGGCGGTGCCATCCCAACAGCGGCGAGCAGCATTTGGGGGGGGGCGGTGTTTGTTCACAAGCCAACAAAACCCCGAGCCCAGGGTTTCACCTTCTGGGGCCTCATCGGCAGTGCTCTTTAGACAAAAAGTTCGCCGGATTGCCAGAAGTTTAGGAAGCTCATAAGGGGCGCTCCTCCTCACGACTCGGCCGCGGGGCCGCAACGTAAGCCTCGGTCTGGCCTAGGAGATGCCCCGCGCAGCGAGGGTTGCGGGCGGGTGCGGTGGGGCGAGCGTGGTGGTCGGGTTGGGGGCAACTCACCCAGCGCCGCGACGAGGGCGAGGCGGCCGTGGCCGGCCAGGCGGCCTCGCTTCGCTCTGGGGCCCCCCGCTGCCGCCGCCTGCTGCTGCTGCGGCTTCCCCTCCTTGGCCGCCATCGTTCGCGCAGCGCCGCGAACTTTGCCGCTTCGCCTCCGGAGCGGCGGAGGAGCCGGCGCGTCGCTGCCGAGCGGCTCCATGGATGGGGGGGAGTGGGGGTGGGGGGGAGTGGGTGGGGGGGAGTGGGGGTGGGGGCGAGTGGGGGTGGGGGCGAGTGGGGGTGGGGGGGAGTGGGTGGGGGGGAGTGGGGGGCGAGTGGGTGGGGGCGAGTGGGGGGTGGTAGTGGTTGGGGGGGAGTGAGTGGTGGGTGGGGGTAGTTGGGGGGTGGGAGTGGGTGGGGGGGCTCCGAGCTGAGCGCACGGGATGACGTCACCGGCAGGAGCCGCCGATCGCCGGTGACGTCACGGCGTGGCTCCGTGCCAGGCTAGGTGCACTTTGTGGCCGCGTGGAGTGCGCACGCAGATTCACCGCCACCACCGCCCCCTCGTTGTCGACTTGCTCGCGGGCTCAGCCCTCCGCTCGTCGTTGTCGAGCGTCGCTCCGCGGCCCCCCGCCCTCCGTTGTTGGCGGCTGCCCCCAACTGCCCAGGGGTCTTCGGCAGCTCCGCTCAGCTCCACATCATCCACATCTTCGTGTGCACCACGGCAGCAGCGTGATGCACACCTGCTCAGCAACGTGCGGCCACCCGCTCGCAATCCTTGCAGCGCCGCGCGGCTTTCCGAACCTCTGAGCGAAAACCTAATTCTCGAACATGACGGGCTTGCTGCCTTCACTTATCCAGAGCAGCTGCGTAAGCCACGGTCTCTGGGGAGCAGAGCAGTCCCAGGGGATACGGATAATCGGGGCGACCGCCCCGGGCCCTGCGCTTTGGGGGGGGGGGGGGGGGGGTAGCACTTGGACGTCATGGTGCTGGTTTAGTTTGAAGGCGTTGGCGGGGCCCGCAGTGGGATCTACCCCGGCCCCACACCCCCTACGGACGGCCCTGCTGGAAAGGTTTCGACCACGTTCCCCATTGCAGCTGCATGGGACAGTCCTGAACCTCGCCCATTTCCTCTCGGCATCAGGAGGGGAGACGATGCCGTTTCCAACTGCAAGGATGACAATCTTTGCAACCTTCATCAGCGAGCCGAGACCAGGCTGCTACTGTGACGCCAGTCAGAGCCATATGCAGTTACCGGTAACACAACCCTGGTCTGTACGAAGCCATGCTTTGTACGAGGGCCCTGGTTTGCACGAGGCCATGCTTTGTACGCCAGAGGGGGTGGGGGATTCTGTAATGACCATAGAGAGAGGTAGAAAAAACCGGTTACGAGTTCTCGCGGGTTGCGATGGGACGTCGGAATAAATAAATATCCACATTTCAAAGTGAATCAATTTTTTCATTTGACCAAATAAAGGAAAGACAATGTTAATATTCGAAAGCAATGTTTATTAAATAGGAAAATAATGAATAACTATTAATAAAGGAGCAAAAATCAACTGGCTTCGGTTGTTCACCACCTATCCCCGCAAGCCGACAATACGCGTCAACCCTCAACCACTCTGGTCGAGGACTTTTCACAAAGCATCTCATGCCGCACGGCATCAGATTTAAAGTCGCGTCCAGACAAAATATCAATTGTAACATTTATATCGTGGATAAGATCTACACAATGGAACACAATTAATGTTTCTACTTTATGTTTTTGGTTCACCAACCGACCCCATCGAATAATAAATCATTTCCATCATGGCAAAATATACCTCTTCAGTTGAAATTGCATACGGTAATATCTAAACAGAACCTTTCCCCGTTTTAGTAAACACATTACACATTACACTCATCTCGGGTTTCCCAAATATGTTTGACATGGCGATACCTCAGACCTATATTTTGGCATCACTGTCGTGGGCACGGCCACCTCGTCCAGCACGTCAGGGCAACGTGGAAGAGTAGACCAAATACAGTTCCTTCTCGAGTTGACTCGAGCGCGAGGCCCTTCTGCCAGCAGTCGCTTGGGGAAGCAACTGCAGGGCCACACCTTTAACCCTTGTTGTTTAAGTCAAGGGAGCGAATCGCTACTTACATATTTAACCGCGAGCTCCTAACGCGACCCCCGTCTGGGGCTTACAACCCAGCGCTTGGGGAAATGCTGTACTATGCAGACAATTGCATAAACCGGTATTCAAAGGCAACAGTATTTTAACAGAATAAAAGTGCTTTAAATTACTTTCACTTAATGCTAGCTTTACAAAAAGAAATTGTAACTTTTGCGGTATGAAACATGCGTTGGGCTAGAACAAATATGTTCACATGATTAAGTTAAAATGTAAACTAAATTCACTTTTAATCCTTGTTAATGAACCCGGGAAGATTTGGGTAATAAATGCAGAGTAGAAAAATGTAGATTAAGTACACGATTTCCAAGAACCGCGATGCCATGTAAAACGGAGGCCAATTCGTTTGTGCCGAATCTGCTACGCACAACTCAGCTTCTCACTGCAGCAGCCACTGCCACCAACCGATTTGCACCGCCCACCGTCGCCGTTCATGCGAGCGACACATCCGGCAAGGTGCACAGAGCACGGCGAGTGGCTGAGAACACAATGTCAAGGTTCAAGGCAACCTATCATTCGACTACGTTTAGTTTACAATAAATTGAGCGACGCAAGACTATGTTGTCACTCATCTCAAGATGTCTCCTGGTGTTTTGGTACAAGATATTTAATCACTGCCACACCAGTCATTTCTGCAGGGGATGAGACGCCAGCCAGAGGACTGGTGGTCAGCATAGCTGAGCATTAAACCGATGTGTGTCCTGCCCAGGCTGTAAGTAAATATCAGGATTTTGGACGAGCGTCTTCGAAAACACCGCCGCCAACGATCGTTGGGCAACAAGAGCGTGTAATTCCCGCCACTCGGGTTTTCCCGATGTGCCGAATGATTGCTGCAATGGGTGGCGTGAAGACGACGGCCGCTGTTATCCCTGCAGTTTCGAGACTTTGATGGCTGCGGCCGTGTGTATGTCCAGGAAGAACGGGCCCTCTTGGCCAGGGAGGAAGGTGGTCGGGATGAGGTTGTAGATCCCAGCTGGCAGCGACTCCAATTCCAGGTAACAAAATCCGCTCCTGGGGAGAGAGCGACGAAGGTTCCGTCACACAGCGACTCGCAAATACATTTGAATGAGAGGTAAAATAAGAGATTCTCACGTGCACGATTTGATGCACGTGATCCTAAGAATACATTTTAATCGGTGGAATGAGTGCATCGCTACAGCATCGTGGGGGAGTTCCTTGCCTGTAATCTCCAGAGCCTTTCCTTGAGAACGCAGCTCCCGAGTCCCCCTCGGTGCTCACCACCACGAGCTCAAACCCCACGCTGTACTGCCTGCAACGGCAACGCCGCGCGTCACTTGTGGGAAGAAACAGCATTGTGCAGATTGCTACGAGACACGGGATATGTAACGGGACATCTCTTTCTTAATGTACTTATTCTGTCACCGTGTGTTTACCGCTGCAGAGCTTGCATGCAACACTGGAATGTCTTGCAGTGTGTCAAGTCTGCGGCTGACCCCACTGACACAACAGGAGAGGAGCAACCCGGGGGGTAGGCACACACGTACTTGTACACACATCGTATACACACACATGCAACGCACACAAGCACCGTGTGCACACACTACGTGCAGACACCACACACACACCAGCGCCAGAGCGCAGGTGAGACAGTGCTTGCGATGCCAGTGGCCTCCCAAGCAAGCCCTCAGGCGACGCATCCTGCAGCAGAGAGTCAAACCGAACCAAACACCAGAACTGGAAAGCAGCGTTAACCGCTTATTCTCTTTAACCCGAAAAGCCAACACCGAACCCCGATAAAATGCCTCGCTTTGGAAACAAAACCAAGAAAAAGGGATTCAGGAACCGGTTTTAACCGGTTCAAAAATATTAACGTCCCACTCTGTAGATGGGGTGTTAAACGTGAAACAGGCCAAAATCGCTCACCCTATGTTGCTGTTATTACCGATGATGCCAGCTACTTGTGCACTGAGCACGAGGTGGGAGAGACGGCAACACTGACCGGGGCTCGGGCGGCGATGTTCACACCGACTCGCACAGACAGGCGGCAGCGATAGAGGCGACTATTTTTCAACTGGATACATTTCTCTGCAGTTAAGACTACATTTTAATTTTAAGGGGTTAACTGTAATGTTATCTAAAACAATTATTGAACCAATATGCTACATTTTTACAAGTTTAAACTGGTTTGTAGCAAACGGTTAACTAGAACTCAACTTTCAGGGATTGAATCGTAACCGGTCCAAGTTTTGGGTTAACGATAAACCGTGTACACCCGAAAATCAATCGATGCGACTCCCCGCACTGCAGTAGCATGACCGTTGCGATAGCGTGGAGTGGGAACAAGGGACTACAAACTTGGGTCCTCGAATCTCCACGAGCAGTGGGCCCTTCTTGTCCACGCGCAGCTGGTACATGGGGTTACTCTTGTACGTGTCCCGATAGTTGGAGCAGCCGCCCGCCGAACTGCCCTCCCATTTCCCGGTGATCTACAAACAAACACAAAATCACGATCCGCTTCTTCACATCGCCACCGCTTCCGCTGAACGCGTCCGGGAGGGGGCGGCTGCTGTGGGAGTGACGATCACCACCGGGGTGGTGACGTGGTCTCGGCAGCGGCGGTAGATGGGTGCGCGGTTCGAAACCGGCGACTGCCCTCGTTACCGTCGGTGTATTGACCGTAAAAATACGTGCCGCTCGCTTCACAGTGGACTGTTAAAGGTCTCGTGTATGTATCTACGTGTGTATGTTGAACTTCTTTCACATCGTACGTAGCCAACCGTGCAAATCGGAGGTGCAAACGTCACCGACTCGAGTACGCCATCTGTGTGGCTGCTTCATGGTTCAATTTTGCCAATTGTGAAAAATGACACCGCAAATTATTTTAAATTGAATCTACATAGCAATCATCGCCCAACCCTCCTGGGCAAACCTGGCAGGACCCTCCTGAAAAAGAATCATAAGGCATCAGCAAGGCTTTCCTGGGTAAAATATATGGAATAAAGAAGAAGCAATAATGCTGTGTGTGCACTGTAGTTGGCTTCCTCCAGCGAGGGGTGCGAGGGATCTGGGCTGAAAAGGTCATCTCGAGGAGGTGGGCATGACTGCTGCCCCATCGTGCGACTCGCTGCTGAACGGGTGGCCAAACATTCAATGTGCACGGGCAGACAAATGAGACACAGTGTGCGTAGATACGCACCCGTTGATGTTTAGTGAATGAAAAAGGAATCTCCAAAAGGTTGAACTTGCCGGAGCCAAACACCTGCAATGAAGAGATTGCAAATGCAGCCAATGAACATCAGGGGATGAACACTCGCGGGATTTAGGGTCAAGAGCAAGGGCTCGAAGTCTACTTTTAATAGCGCACGGAGACTGGACAGGCATTTACGAGCTGCCCGTAATAGACGTGTCAATTTAATTTCCAAACACTTTAAAGTAAATTGACATTAAATTAGCTGACCACATCTGGTTCGGTCAGAATTTAAAATCCACGCAAGCACAATTCTGATAATCAGATCATCGTGAGCGAGGAATCTATTTAGCCCACCGCGTATTAAAGCAGCCGAGGCAAATTCTATTGCACAGCTGAGCCAAATATATCAAAGACAGTGCAGCCTCAACATTGGCTCACACATTAATTAAATTTGCATTGCAAACATGTTTTACTTTTGAATGTAAAACACATACTTCATGAAATAAGCCACCCATTAAACATAATTCGGGTAAATTACCACCAATGCATTTTAGTTAATCAGATCCATGGAATGACCACTAATTTACAAATGGCAGATTTTAACGTTGCGAAACTTCCAGTGACAGAATGAATGAACTCGAATTGAAATTGCGCTCCATCACGTAACAAAACGTCTCGCAGCGCACAACCTGCCCCCTATCGGCAGCTGTCCCTGTGCGGCACAAGGTCAGAGCGCCTGGTTCAAGGTCAGAGCGCCTGGCTCAGGGTCAGAGCGCCTGGCTCAGGGTCAGAGCGCCTGGCTCAGGGTCAGAGCGCCTGGCTCAGGGTCAGAGCGCCTGGCTCAGGGTCAGAGCGCCTGGCTCAGGGTCAGAGCGCCTGGCTCAGGGTCAGAGCGCCTGGCTCAAGGTCAGAGCGCCTGGCTCGAGGTCAGAGCGCCTGGCTCAGAGTCAGAGCGCCTGGCTCAAGGTCAGAGCGCCTGGCTCAGGGTCAGAGCGCCTGGCTCAAGGTCAGAGCACCTGGCTCAAGGTCAGAGCGCCTGGCTTAAGGTCAGAGTGCCTGGCTCAGGGTGAGAGCGCCTGGCTCAAGGTCAGCGCGCCTGGCTCGGCAGTGGACCTTGGTCTGCCAGGAGCAAGGACAAAATTTCCATGCAAGTAATTGGTGGGTAACTTTTTAAATATTTAGTTTTGCAAATTAGAAGATTGACATTGTACGTTTTTTTTAGCTATGGTGTGGAAACCAGGAGAGCCTGGAGGAAACCCGTGCAGAACAGGCGGAGAGCACACAAACTCCACAGAGAGTCGGGAATCAAACCCAGGTCCTTCTTGCCATGAGACGCGAGTGGGGTGCGATACGACGCGGGTGCGGTGCCCTCACCCGCAGCGTGTACTGGATGGTGTTGTGCTTCTCGTACTGCGACACCACGAGCGTGTACACCGTCTTGCCCGGGTCCTTGACGGTCAGCTTGGTCAGGTAGTGGGGGCTGTTAATGCGGATGCCGTCGATGTACGGCGCTGGGTCACCTGTCAAGAGCCAAAACGGCAGCGGGTTGTGAGGATACCTATGTACGCACGAAGCACAAACACGTGGGCAATTACAATGACTAACACACGGGCCAATGTATTACTTTGGGAAACAGGGCCGATGCTTACTGTGCGTCTCGGTAGAGTGGACAGAAACACGACTACCGCGTCGTGGGGCGTTGGGAGGGGATACACCTTCCAAGACCTTTCCAAGATAAGGCTTGCGATAAGACAGAAGTCAGCAGGTATGCCGGGGTCCAGTGTGGGTTGTTCCAGGATGGGGTCTACTCACTGGGGTAGTAGATCTTTTTCCCGTTGGTCTTGTAAACCAGGAGCGTGAAAAACACCTTGTTCTCCGCAAAGTCGTCCTGCAAAAAGGACAGTGGAGGAGAGCAGCGAGAGACGGGCTGCACTGAGAACCCCGCGGGGGCGTGCGAACGCCGCCTGACCCGACGATAAAAGCCTTCGCGAGCCTCCCGAGCCTCCTGTGGCAAGCAGCTGCAAGCTGGGGACCTGCCACGACGGGAGGTCGCCGCCCCCCTCCCCCGCCTCACCTTGTCGGTGATGTGCCGGGTGAGCAGCACCCACACGGCCGCAGCCCCTCCCTGGGGACACTGCACCTCCAGGCGGTACTGGGGGTTGTTGCCCAGGCTGTACGCGTCTCGCACGGGGCCCTTTTCCGAGCTCCACTGGCTGGAGGCACACGGGGGGCGAGGGGCAACTTTAGATGCAAAGCGGACGGTGGGATATTATATGAAGAGCTGCGACCACTTGGTGCAGTTTGCCGGGCTGGGCTGTGCTGTGTCTTCAGCATTTCTTCTCTCCAATTCTGGCTGCGTGCTGCTGCGGTCCTCTTCCGCAGTTGAACTTTGGCGAGCACAAAGATATCCAGCAGGAGCGACTGCTCTGCCGATTGAATGACTGATGCTTCTACAAATTCAATTATAAAATAAGTGACCACGGGCTCTGCTCATGCCGACAGGATTTATCCCCCCGTTATTTTGTTCAACCACATACACGAGCTACATCTTTCATGTATTGTTGTTTTGAAAGCTATTAATCATTGTTTTTATTTTTTTAAATATTTCATCTGGATGCTCCCTCGAGACGGAACATTTCGTTTGCAAGAGGGTCCAGGCTGTCAATGTGACACACGCCAAGCAAACACACAATGACACCACACATACGAGCGTTTGAAATGTACAACTCGGCATGTGCCTACCTGTGCAGACAGGTCGTCTCCGGGAAGATGGAAGGGTTCCAGCTGAGGTAGATCACATCGTAAAATGCGCAGGCAGCCTCCCAGTCAATCCAAAACACACCTGCCGTGGCACACGCAAACGGAGCACCATCACGCACGCTCACCGTGCTCGCAGTGGAAGGCCACCGTAACCTTGGGTGACCGGCACAGCCGATAGAATGCCACCAAGGCAGACCGGATTCTGGGAAACAGCCTCTAGGTCAGAGCAGCAATCAAGGAAGAAGCCGTAGGCGTCTCTCCAAGCCTCAACAGAAGCTAAAACTGTCGACCCTGGCATTCTCCATGTGCGCCATCTCAACAAAGAGGGGCCCTCTCACGCCGCGACAAAAGTGAATTGCCTGGCCAGGTTCCAGCGCCAGCACGACATGGACGTGCCAGGCCGTCCAGGAACATCTCCCCAAGCGTGACAAACAAGATGCACGATGCGACATCGCCGGACACACTATGGCGCGGCAGCACCGTGCCTAAACGCGGAGCGGCAACCTTCGTGAAGAGAGCGCTCGCGGACTCGCGCTACGCGCTCCCCGACTTGTCGCTGACTTTATCCATCGCTAAGACAATCGGCGACCCGCACATGTCCAATGTCTACAAGCCACCAGACCGTGAAAGGCCTTCATCCAGTGCTACCTACTCCACCAGTGTTCATACATCAGCTTTGTCAACTAAACGTGTCAGAAATATACAACACCATCTTATCCATAAATTTGGCTTCTTGTAGGTTACGGAAGGATTCCATCACAGCTGACCTGAAATCCCCATGAGCGTACCATCGTCTGTCTTCTGCGCTTTCTTTAGGTCGTAGTTCAAGGCCTTTTGAAGGCCCGGAGTCCAGTTCTTCTCGTCGCGCTCACTGTAGCGGCCCTTCCAGCGCAGGTGACTCCACGGGTTCTTCAGCTGCAGGAACTTCACGCCCTACTCACTCAAACAGAAACATCCCCTGTATAGCCTTCGCAGACTTTTGGAGCAAGTGTTGTTAGCGAGGCAGGAGAGAGCCCAAGTCACTGAGTAGGATCTTGAAGTTGTTTGGGGATTGCATTGGGAGCCAGTGGCACGATCAGCACACAGACAGACAGACACAGCATGTACCTGTGCCTCGCGAATGTCCAGCACTGCATATGCATGCGTGGGGACCAAGCCTCTCTGCTCCCCCTCTTCATCCGTCATCACTCCTGTGGCTATGGTGATGAGGACGTCCCCGTGGTGAAACCTACACTGCAATTCGCAGTTCACAAGCCACGTTCAGCTACAGCCAGACATCCCGGGCCCCACGCAGTCGCAGTGTGGCTAAGTGGTGTCAATTACTCAATAGGCACCTTCAACAAAGCGGCACGGCGCTGCATGCATAACTCGAGTTACTTTTGAATACATTTTACAAAACGGAATTACTGCAAGAAGTGTTTTTTGTCATCGATGCAGAATTATCAGACTCTTAGTTTTCAATTGAAGTGGAGCGCTCAAGCACACGACTGCGATGGTCATATCCACGTTTGGCAGCGCGCCGCTCCGAAAGCAAGCAGAGGCAGCGGCTGAGCAAACGGCGCACTGTGCCGAGACCGCAGGCCGCACCGCTGATGGAGCATGTTGAAGGTGGCCTCCTTGTTGAAGAGCTGGTGCTCCGAGTGCATGGAAATGCGCTCCGGAATCCAGCCGGTCAGCGCATGCAGGTCGATGTTCTGTACAGGCGCACACAACGCCAACGTATTTTAACCCGACTGCGCATGAAACGCTGCGCATTGTAACGCGTTGCGCGGCATCCGCAGGTGAAGCGATCCCCCGCCCGAGTCCCATTTGTCACCGTGGCCAAAGCCGCCGATGCCGCCACGCACCGCACCACCAACGCACGCTCCCCTCCACCAGATGGCGCAGCTGCTGCTACTGCTGCTGCACAATAAACACGCAGCCACCTCCAAGACATCATCCCTCCATCTGCTCTGAGATCGCCGTGGGGACAACTTCAGTGCCCGTGTCGGCAATCGGCCCTCCCCTCCCCCCATCCCGCTCACGCATCCCACCCCCCAGCACAGACGTTTGTTCTACATCTATATATAATTACACAAATGTGATCAAAAATAACATTTGAAGGAAACAGATGGTTTCAATGCCAATTATAAAGATTTAGGTAACAAAGACTGACACCGCACTTCCGATTAGCACGTTTGGCTACGTACGGTGCGAAAGAAATTCAACATGCATACTCACAGAATTGGAACCAGGGAAGTCGTAGCCTCCCATCACCTTCATATAGGCCTTCTCAATGAGCGAGACCCACAGCTCGTTGTGGTTGGTGGAGTAGGAGCACAGGAGCTCCCCGCTGTGGTCCACTGGCAAGTAGTCGTCAATGATGACCTACACCAACACACACACCCAATCTGAATCTTCACTTATCCTGAAGGAATCCGATGAACTACAAAGCTCTTTGTCACAGATGTCCAGGTGCTTCACAGAGGTTTCAAAACATCCGACGTGCGAGTCTGTTGCGCAGGGATTTTTTGAAAGAAACGTGACGGAACCGGAGTTCGTACCTTCCTGGCGACGCCGTTAATGTGCAGCTTGACCATGTACTTGCCGCAGGGATTGTACTCGGGCTCTCCTCGCTTGTTTTGGGGGAAGATGATGCTGTTCCAGGATAATCGGCAAAACAATTCACAAGAGTGTGAAAGTGGACAGCTAAAATTTCAGGGCGGTGACATGGCCCAGCCCTAACGCCTTTTGTTGCAGAGCATTGCGGTTCAAATACGGGAGCTTACCCTGATTATTACTGCGGGTGTGTATGTATATATGATGCACAAGTATCCCTCACATTCTGTCTCTCCCAAACACGCATGAAACCAAAAATGATTCTCTTGCTGAGGACATTCACAGAAAAATGTCGCCATTCCCAATTCACAATATTTTTTCGAGAAATAACATCCAATACAACCATTGGGAGCCAATTTGATGTGGACGAGTGACCCGCATTTTATTGGTAGAATTTTCCGGAATACGGGTTTCCCATTGATTTACATCGAGAAGCGATGTCTAGGCATGACGTCATCGACCCTTGAGCCGTACCTATGGCTTCCACACGGTGACATCACCCCACAGAGCCGGGGACGACATGATGACGTCATCACACTTAGCGCCGACTCCTCACACAACGCAGGATGACGTCACCCGCATCCCACAGCATTGAGCTGGGTTTGCGCAGCGAAATGAGAAAAATTACTGGGAAACGGATAGAAATTAATCGTCGCCCCCTACTGCAAAATCTTAGCAGTCTTGGTACTCAGTGAAGCTTTCTTAGGAAAACAAGCACAAAAATAACTATTTTAAGAGCTCTATATTCCGATTTGGGGAATATAAACGTACATCTTATTCATCATCAATAATCCAGAATGAACAACTTTTCAAGTATGGTTTTGAAGAACTTTGGCCCAAAAGGATTTCACTCATCACTGAGATCAGCAGCATCCAGCCCTAGCACGTGCACATTTATACGAAGGTAATAACACACCTACATGGGAGGAAATGACAAATCGGCTGTTTGTAAAGGCTGCAGTCTTACAGAAGGACTTAGGACAAAGCCTTTAATATCCCTGCATCCCTTGCGAGCAGCGGTTCAGTGCGGTGTGCAAGTCCAATCTGAACGACGGAGTGCTGAGCTACCCAAGGGCGTCAAGGTCGCCACCTGCTGGCTTGGCAGGATACGGCAGCACAGCGAGTGTGCTCATTTCTACCCCCGAGGACACTCCAGTTCCCACCGACATGTATAAACGCTCATTCATGGAGTTGGCCAATCATCCCAATACAGGACCACAGAATTCGGGCATTTGTTGGCACAGGTTCTGGTCGCCTTCTCGTTTGTGGTTTCCCCACGCCTCGGTGCGGAACAGCTGTGCGCGTTACAGAATCCACGGCGGTTTGCGATGCCATTCGCACGAATGGTGCGATAGGGAAAACCCCCCAAAAATATTGTGATCATTAACCGAGTGCCCCTTTCACCTGGTTATCAGCTGCTTCTTGTAGCGGCGCTCGTAGGCTGCACTGATGGCCAGAGACGCCACGAAGGAGCAGTCTGACACCACCGTCTGTCGGAGCACGCGCGCACGCAGACGTGGAATACCATCACGATGTCGACTACACAGTGCGCACAATGAGCTCGTGCCACTGATCGTACATTCATGTTCACCAGACCTGTGTGTGTGCAGTATCTAGAGCCATCGTTAGCATGTTATAGTTTAAAAAAAAATAACAAATGAATGTGGAAACTAATAAGTTGTGCTTTGATACTAGTAACCGTATGAGGGCCCATCACGTGCAACATCTAACCAGCACTGGCATGAAGAATATATTGTCAGCGGATAATGCCTCCTTCATTTATCTGTCTCTTCACATAAAAGTGAACGTATTTTTCATGCAGCCCATAGTCCCCACAGCCTTCAAGGAGTGCAATCATTTCAGAAAATTGTTGAAAACTGACATGTATTGCAAAATAGATTTAACATGAGTAAAGCAGCACCTGCTAGCATATCATCAATCATAATGAGCACAGCAGAGATATAAGCAGAGAACACATTCCACAAGCCATCTGCAAGTCATTTAGGAAACATGCTACTTCATAACTCTATAGCCGTTGAAGACACTGATTAGACTTGACAGATTAACCAGCCATCGAACAGGTGATGTGACGACTGCAAAACCATAACGCTGCCAGTTCTCTTGGAGGCTCAATCGTGACACATGACAGCCACTTCTCCCATCAGCCCCATCCATTTGAACAAATCCACACCCACCCAATCACAAGTCCCGCCCAGCGGATGGGGCACCCAGACTGATGCTGGTCCCGCCCACTGCTTCGAGAGACTGCCCACGACACAGGTAGCCCCACCCACTACACAGGTAGCCCCACCCACCTGCCTTAGGCCCACCCACTACAGGTAGCCCCACCCACCTGTCTTAGACCCACCCACTACAGGTAGCCCCACCCACCTGTCTTAGCCCCACCCACTACAGGTAGCCCCACCCATCTGTCTTAGGCCCACCCACTACACAGGTAGCCCCACCCACCTGGCTTAGGCCCACCCACTACACAGGTAGCCCCACCCACCTGGCTTAGGCCCACCCACTACAGGTAGCCCCACCCACCTGTCTTAGGCCCACCCACTACAGGTAGCCCCACCCACCTGTCTTAGGCCCACCCACTACAGGTAGCCCCACCCACCTGTCTGAGGCCCACCCACTACAGGTAGCCCCACCCATCTGTCTTAGGCCCACCCACTACACAGGTAGCCCCACCCATCTGGCTTAGGCCCACCCACTACACAGGTAGCCCCACCCACCTGGCTTAGGCCCACCCACTACAGGTAGCCCCACCCACCTGTCTTAGGCCCACCCACTACAGGTAGCCCCACCCACCTGTCTTAGGCCCACCCACTACAGGTAGCCCCACCCACCTGTCTGAGGCCCACCCACTACAGGTAGCCCCACCCACCTGTCTTAGACCCACCCACTACAGGTGGCCCCTGCCCACCATTATCAGTACAGGTAGCCATAAAATATTAAATTGGGGACTGTTTGGTGGCCTTATAACGAGGACCAGAGTCAAGCAGTACCTGCTTGATGCTGAAGCTTGAGATGGCGTAGATAACAGTGGGGTTGGTGCAGATATCTGATGGCCGCACCCATCGAGCAAACCTGTCCTTCTGCTTGGGAGCCAGTGCCAGCTTCCCGTGCTCATCACTGGGCAACAGCAGACAAGACGCAAAGCATTTGCAACTAGTTAGAGAAAACACAAGTGACATATTCCACTTAATAGCTCACGTGCCACATACTGATTAAAAAGTAAACGCGCTGATATCCAAAAAAACAAGGGCGATTATTAGCTTGAGACAAACAGAAAATGGCTTCACCGTTGCTTGGTTGTGTGTGGACAGAAATCAAAGGAACACCGACCTGAACGGTATCGGGAACGCAAAACGTTCCTTGAGATCCAATTCCAAGAAAGGCACGTACTTCAAGCCGTTGATGAGCGAAGTTGTCCTGCAAGAGAAAACACACGGATGCCCTGTCTGCACGCCGCTCCTCCATCGTGCAGCGCGACAAACGAATCTGCGCCATAAAAGTACCGAGAATTCACCTGAGCACCGTGATCTCCTCGTCCCTGTACGACTCGGTCGCCGACGGCGGCGGGCCATGTGGCTTTGAGGGACCCCCAGGGCCCCGGCCGCCTCCGGGCCTCCCGGGACCCGCGGGCCCCCGGCCGCCCCCCTCATTGTTGAAGTCAAAGCCCAGGGGGGGCACCCGGCGGACGGGCTGCGAGGGGTACCGCTGCGCCCCGTCGCTCTCCGAGTGCACGGCCGCCACGTTCGAAGCGCCCTTAAGCTTCTCCGCCCTGAGAGCAAACAGCGGCCGGGCCGGTGGTGGTGCGGAGGTCAGCGCGACTGTGACTCACGCATTCCCCGATAAGTTCAACCAAAACCTTTAAATAGCCGGGCGGTGGTGGCGTACTCCTATTATCCAGCACTGTGCAGGCGAAGGTTGGTGGATCACACATGAAGGTGTGTTGAACTTATTTCGCACCGTACGTAGCCAACCGTGCTAATCGGAGGTGCGGGTGTATCGCCTTCGCCTGGCGAGCCAAGCGATGGAACCCTCGACACCCACGGGAGTTTTACAACGTTCGCTTGATGCTCCAACCCTGGATGCCTCCGCACAGTACTCGATTAGAGGCGTGTGCGCCACCACCGCCAATTGCACGAAATTATTAGGACTGGAAATCTTCCAACACCCACGATCAATAGCCACCTGCATGCATATCATGTGGAAAGGGGTGACTCATGGAGATCTTGGCATTCAGGCTTGCTTATTTTCAGCAGCAGCAAGTAAAACAATAACTTAAAACTCTTGTGCCAAACAAGCACAGCTGACATGCAGGAGTGTGAACTCGTGCACAATCGTGATCGGCCCTCCTGCTTGCATTAATGAGTCACGAAGCGTGCAGAGCTACATAGAGAACTTTAATCACAAAAGCAGAGACTGAATGGCAACAAGCATTCCTTTGCGAGCGAGTGGCACCGGCATACCTCTCTTCAGCCTGTTCGGCTAGCTTGTTCAGTTTACTCTGTAGATCTTTATCTGCGGTGGCATTTTTCTAAAAAAAGAAAAGTCGCATTTCACAATTACAAACACTTCACTGGGTTTCAAATGCTATACCTCCATACGTATGACTTCCAGCACAAGAGAAAATAGCCATTGAACAGTATTGACTAGTGACAACTTAGCATTGCATTAAACAACCGATCAAATATTGTGTGAGTTCACTTGATCCAAGAAAACCATGATCCAAGAGGACAATTTTAAGGAAATTGTTGCCAGCAACAGTCGCCAACAAAAGTGACTCTGGCAACTGGGTGGGTAATGGAATCGAGTGACAGTTCTCTAAAATCAAAGAAGTGTTGGCTTAGCAATGATGGTCTACAAACTGAATTCATCTGTTGATTCAACATCTCAGAGGCACACTATGCCCATCATGGCCCACCTCACCACACCACCTCACCACACCCTCACACATCTCACCACACAATCTCAACACCCCACCACACCCTCACACATCTCACCACACCCTCACACATCTCACCACACCATCTCACCACACAGCCTCAACACCCCACCTCACCACACACATCTCACCACACCATCTCACTGCACAGTCTCAACACCCCACCTCACCACACCCTCACACATCTCACCACACCATCTCACCACAGTCTCAACACTGATGTTGGTTATGAGCAGGAATAGAACTCGGTTCGCCAGGTTCGTAGTGCAACAGCATAACTATCACACTACCGCTCTCCATGCACACACCGACACGATGGGTTTCAGCCTTGAACTTTAGCCAGCCACAAGCAGATCCCCGAGGGCTCCGTGTTGATTTTATTTTTCTCCCCAAGAACGTTGCTATGTGGCTTCGGTTCTCAGTACATGGGGAAGTTGGCTCTCCAAGAAGGGGGAGCGACAACACTCTGGCAATGGGATCTGATGCAGGGAGGGTGAGGATTATGATAATAAATATCAAGGCCCAACGGCAAATTAAGTTCCAGGAGCGATATCCCTTCATTCAGTCGGTAAAGGTGTCGTAAGGATTTTACGTGTAAAAAATGGAACATTGAAAAAGTATCGGCGCCAAAAGCTGAGTGAGCCTCTGCTAGAAGGGAGAGGCACGGCAAGGAGAGAGCCAGCGGCTTTGCAGGGCACCGATGACCGAGAAGGACATCATCATCATCATCACCACGCCGGAGAGGAAGGTGGGGCACAAGAGATAGCAACTCAGACTTGCCCTCTGACTTCGCGATTTCGAGATCCCTGCATTGTTCTCTCTCCACCTGCTGCCAAAGTCTGTGCCCCATCTCGACAACGTAGGCTCGCGATCCGCACACTCAGTGTAGGAACTTTGTTGTTCTGGCCGATATAACACATTTTTAAGAATTAATGTGCGTTACATAATGCATGGGGGCCTAGCCCATTGTTTAGGTTCTGTAGCAAGTGTGTGGAAGGGAACAAGTCCCGTTTCACAAAATTCAGGAGATTAGCGCGGTTGGCCATTGTCTTTGGATGAGTTGTTCATAGACGGCCAGAGGCACAGTGGCTCCGCAAGGTGAATACATTGGGGCAAACAGGAAAACCAGTCTGGGTATGTAGGACTTACGTGATATTTATCAGGATTTAAGAGGTGCAAGTAGCAGCTCGGTGGTGAGTGGATGTCATTGCGACGGATGGCAAAAGCCCCTCGATGGAACAAACACCCTCAGCTCTGAATCCAGTCACCCAGAACAGGACACAGAATCCCCGTGAACCGGATTATCTGCGTAAAGCAGGGGGGCACCAAGGAGTGTGATGCCCCCTCCCGCAGTGGAGTGATTGGAAGTTGCCATCCAATTTGCCCACGAGGGTGGAGCTGCTTTGGGCAACGACATTATTGTGTTTTTGTTACGACAGGAAACGCTGCTGCAACCGTTGACAATGTCCAAAGCCGGCAAAAGTTGCCCTAAAATTGCCCCAGTGGATCGTGGCCTGTACAGTACGAATAATAGTGACGCTGCCGGAGTGGAATGTTCGCAGTGGGCTCGGGTGAAAGGTGCTTCTCTCACCGTGTTGATGCACAGTTCCTTGGTCTTCTTGTAGAGGTCTGCCGCTTCCTCCTCATTGTTCTTCTCCTCCGCTTCGAACGCCTTCTTGCACAGGAAGTACGCTCGCTCCGTCGCCACCTGCTGGGCCGACTTCAGCTGCCCCCTCTGTCCTGAACTGGCCTGGACTGTCACACGACGAGCAACGGTTGACAACGTTATACTGGTAGGAACCTCCTGGTTACACCAGCCCACAGGGGATTATTGTGTCCGTCCGTCGTGCAGGGAGGGGCTGGGTGGGGAGGGAGGGGCCGGGTGGGGAGGGGAGGGTGGGGCTGGGTGGGGAGAGTGGGGAGGGGCTGGGCGGAGGGGAGGGTGGGGAGGGGCTGGGTGGGGAGGGTGGGGAGGGGCTGGGTGGGGAGGGTGGGGAGGGGCTGGGTGGGTAGGGTGGGGAGACAGGCTGGGTGGGGAGGGTGGGGAGTGGGAGGGGTGGGGTTGGGTGGGGAGGGGCTGGTCACCCCGTAGTGCCCTTATAAAACTCAACGTTTAACCTACTCACGCCGGCTTGTGCCCGCCCTCACAGTCGGCCATATTTGCGGAATACACCACGCCGCCGTTGACCCTGGCCATTGACCGAGCAACCCAACGTTCCTACCAGCTCCCTCCGCAGGAATGTGTAAACCCTGCCACTGCCATCGGTGGTCAGGGCTTATGCCCAGCCTATGGGCGATGAAGGGTGTTTATTTTGTAGGTGTATAAGACGTGCAAAATAACATTACACAGAGTGTGCGAGGTATGTTGTGGCAATGGCTGTAAGATCCGGCGAAGGAATCCGTGGCAAGGAGCGGGGGGGCATCAGCGGCGTCGGTCGCGTATTGCATTTTCGTGATTTTTTTTTACTTTAAAAAACCATTCCTCATCTTGCCTTTCACATTTTAACACTATCCCGCCTCTCGACAACGTACGGCAATGTTTCAACGTGATATATACAGTACCGTTGCCGTGTTGACACAGAAAATACAATGGCAACATGCTTCATTGACATAATAAGCAGGAGCGTCGATCGATGAGCCTCTTGACCACAGCCCTGCTGTGGTGCACGAGTGCCCCTGGGGTCACATCGGCGAGGAGCTACTCACCCGTGGCCTGCAGCACTTCAACGCGGTCGAGGTACTCGTGCGCCTTCTCGGCCAAGCGCTCTGCCCGCGAGCCAGCCTGCAGGGCGTACAGCAGGGCCTGGGCAGCCTCCTGCCACACAACAACACGCACACACACACGTGTCATGTACAACACACGAGCAGCACCACGTGTGCACGCGCACACACGTGTCATGTACAACACACGAGGAGCACCACGTGTGTCATGTACACAGTTCGAGTGCTTGATTATGTATGCCAAGCTCGGAAAACGATGAACGAGTTCACAGATACCAAAGGTGTACCGTGCTGTTCCCCAGAGCGGGCCGATGACTTGGACGAAGCCTCTAAGGAATACTCGTCCATGTGTTCTTGCGATGATTGTGGTTCTATGTGTAAACAAATAAGCGCGTCTTTAAATGGGGCAACTGGTGAACCTGAAACTAAACTTTACCAGGTAAGGCCCACAGAGCTATGAAGCTCTTTATCAGAAGGGGCCTGGCTCAACTAGAAGCGGCGTATCACGTGGACATCTGTAGCAGCCAAATACTCCAAGTATACAGCAGCAGGCGTCAGGGGTCGGGATTGAACCCACAACCACCTGCATACCAGGCGAGGTCGTTAACATGCAACGAGTAGGGGCACCCACGCCGGTCTGGGACGATGACGACAGTTTCATCTTATCGCTAAGTTGGAGAACAATTCATTCTAGTGTGTAGTGGTGGTGGTGGTAGTGGTGTGTGTAGTGGTGGTGGTAGTGGTGGTGTGTGTAGTGGTGGTGTGTGTAGTGGTGGTGTGTGTAGTGGTGGTGTGTGTAGTGGTGGTGTGTGTAGTGGTGGTGTGTGTAGTGGTGCTGTGTGTAGTGGTGCTGTGTGTAGTGGTGGTGTGTGTAGTGGTGCTGTGTGTAGTGGTGCTGTGTGTAGTGGTGCTGTGTGTAGTGCTGGTGGTAGTGGTGTTGTGTGTAGTGGTGGTGGTAGTGGTGCTGTGTGTAGGTGGTGGTGCTGTGTGTAGTAGTGGTGCTGTGTGTAGGTGTAGTAGTGGTGGTGGTGGTAGTGGTGGTGGTAGTGGTGGTGCTGTGTGTAGTAGTGGTGCAGTGTGTAGTAGTAGTGGTGGTAGTAGTAGTGGTGGTGTTCGTGGTGGTAGTAGTAGTGGTGGTGTTCGTGGTGGTAGTAGTTGTGGTAGTGCTGTGTGTAGTGGTGGTTGTAGTGGTGGTAGTAGTAGTGGTGGTGTTAGTGGTGGTAGTAGTTGTGGTGGTGCTGTGTGTAGTGGTGGTAGTAGTAGTGGTGGTGTTAGTGGGTGAACGTGGCCGCGTGGCGCCGCCGCCGCCGCCACCTTGTAGAAGAAGACGGCCTCCCCGTACTCGCCGCCCTCGTCTCTGACCACGCCGAGGCGCGCGAACTTCACGGCGTCCTGCTCCAGCTTCGTCGCGTCCATGGCGGGGCCGACCGCGCTACCTCCTCAGCATCGACACGTGTCCGCTAAACAACAACAGCAACAACAACACCGCCGTCGCTGTAGTTGTTGTTGTTGGTGGTGGTGGTGGTGGCTCCAGCGGAGGCCGAGCGCCACTGGCTGGGCTCGCGGTCACGTCCGGGGGCCCCGGGGGCGGGCGGCCGCGGCTTCAGTCGCTTCCTCCAGATGGCATCGCAGCCCGCGGTTTGCGTCCGGCGAGCGCCGAGTTCAGCTTCTCGGACGCCGGCGGGAAAGAGCTTCGTCGCTTTTCGGGTTTTACCTTCCCGCACTGACGCTGCGGCGTCAACGCTTCTGACGTCATCGCGCAGTGCGTCGTGACGTCACGGATGTTGACCGACGTGAGTTTTCTTTTTGTCGTTACGATAAAAAAAACATCGTCGTCGACAATTACTTTAGTCTCGTCGGGAGCGTAAACTTTGTTTCAAATTCATTTTAATGTTTTGGTAAAAAAAAATTGGAATGTCATGACGACGTAAGACGTTGTCATCGGATCGCGTGGCGCGGTGACGTCACGCGATTGCGACATCGGTGCGTGGCGCGGTGACGTCACGCGATTGCGACATCGGTGCGTGGCGCGGTGACGTCACGCGGACCGCGCCCCGTGATTGGTGGCGGCGCGCGTGGCCACTCGGTCGCTGTGGACTCGGAGACAGGTGAGGAGCTCCTCACCGCAAACTTCCACAACTCACCACAAACTCTACTCACCACTCACCACAGACTCTACTCCTCACCACAGACTCTACTCACCACAGACTCTACTCACCACTCACCACAGACTCTACTCCTCACCACAGACTCTACTCCTCACCACAGACTCTCACCACTCACCACAAACTCACCACGAACTCTACTCACCACTCACCACAAACTCACCACAGACTCTACTCACCACTCACCACAAACTCACCACAGACTCTACTCACCACTCACCACAAACTCTACTCACCACTCACCACAAACTCTACTCACCACTCACCACAAACTCTCACTCACCACCACGGCCTCTCACCACTCACCATGGCTTCTCACTCCCACCACTCACCACAGCCTCTACTCACCACAGCCTCTCACTCACAACTTACAGGTTGCTCAGCTGTCGAGCGAGTGGGTCGCAGTGGGTGTTGCACTGCCCGGCAGCGGCATGGTCACATCATTACATCGCACCGTTATTACATTATTACAGTCACGCCGACATCACGACTACAAGGACGGTGTGGTCAGTGTGGTCAGTCAAACACGGCAACAAGCCAGGGGCGTTGTGTCACTCCGGCCGTTGTCATGACGTTGCCGGCAGATTTATCCCGTTTATTGACTCGGCCCATCATCACTCTATACGGGGTCGGTAAAATAGGTAGAGCGGCACGTGTTTGGAGTAAGTCGACGGCAATTGTTCTTCGATGGACAGACTCGCCCCCGCCATACGAATGCAGAATCTCCACCACCGCACGCCTGTGGCAACGCGACGAGCAGCAGCAGCAGCAGCGCCTCAATGTTCACTTTGAGTCGGACTCCACCGCCGGTGTTGGCTGCGTTGCGGGGGTTTAGATGAGCCGAGGTCAAAGGGCACGGCCGAGGTCAAAGGGTATGGCCGAGGTCAAAGGGTACGGCCGAGGTCAAAGGGCACGGCCGAGGTTAAAGGTCGCGGCCGAGGACAAAGGTCACGGCCGAGGCCGTTGCCGCTGTGGCCGCCACTGGACAATGGGACCGTCGACTTGCCCGATATGGTCGTCGCCTCTGACCCTCCAGATGTCTGTCATCGTGTCGTTTCTGTTGAGATTGTTCGCGTGTGTGATCCACGGCGTCGTTACCCATCAAGTGAGGAGGCTACCACCGCTGCCCGCTCGCGGTTGAGTGCTCACGTGGTTTTAGTTCGGTTTGGTGGCTTTTTAATGATACATTCCTATTTCGGCCACAGGTGTGTGTTTTAAACCATTGTTTAGTAGGTAATGAATCATGTTTACTGGCCCTGTAATAAATGCCGAAGTATATAACACTGCTATAAAAAATAAAATATAACAAAGCAATTTATGGGAAGGGCCGTTAACCGAAACGTCGCCTATTATATACGGGTATTTTTTATTTCCTATTTCCAGGTCACTGTTATTGACCAGTGTTGTTATTTGTGCCTGTGTGCCACTGGCAAAGCACTTCTATTGTTGCACACGATTGCAGCAATTTGCCCAGGAGCTCGATGCCAATGCCGAGGTCTGCTGCTGCCGGACACGACGAGAGGGCTTCAGCAGAGAGGAGAGTTCGTTCTAGATTTGAAGTTTTCGTGACTGCAAGGATCCATACTCCTTGGTTTTTTCGGTAAAGTCACGTAGGTACACACACTTAAGCCTTTGTGCTTTCGCTACGTTGTCCCCACCTGAAGAAGGGCGCTCGTGTTGCGCCCGAAACGTCGTGATTTAATTGATTTGTTGTCTATTCTTACCTACGTGACTTTTACCGAAAAAAACAAAGAGTAAGGAGAGTTCGTGTCGTGTCCGCTGTGCCTCCTCCTCCTCCGTGCAAGGAGCGGCAGACCACAGCGCCTTCACTCCCAGGGCCACAGTTTGGGCCGCATGGCCACGACCGCACACCCCACCGTGGCTTGTCTTGAATTCCACGTGCACGAGGGAGATGTGCACAGCGGCCTGTGTGACGTCCCGATGATGTGGTTGATGGTTCCACCACCGGCGTCCTTGAGGAGGAATGTCAAAGCCAGGAGGTTGCGGTGTTTTGGTCTCGACTGCGGCGTTCATTCTTCACGCCAACGCGTCGGCCGACTCCCATGCCATGTGGGTCGTTAGGAGTTCTTTGAGCATACTTCACCACGATAGTCATTGCGGTGTCGATGCAGATGGGAGCGTAGAATTACAGTACAACGATGAATGTTGCTGCACTGCGCTACGATGCCCACGCACGTAGATCAATACACTTTGGTGTCAAGCTTTGCCCGGTCCCATTGGACTCTTAAAAGGCAAAGTGCAGCTTTGAGTGGGAGTCTATAGGTCGCCTTATAGAGACTTGTTGGAGGCGTTGACTAACAGGGGCGTTGCGCCTTGTGATGGCTCACTTGGGCTCCTCTCATAATACTGTATTTTCACAGCGCACCTGTCTCGTGAATGCAGTACTGTGCCCAACATGTCATGTACAGCCTGGTGATTCACCTTAGCCAGGTCGTGTAAGAGAGTGTGAGAAGGTCCGAGTGGTCTCCATGTGAAGTGGCTCAGTCGGTGATTACTGTCACTCGAGGTTCCTAGCCAAAGATGGGAATTTACATTCATTTGGTCGTGGTCAATTAAAAGAGCATGCCCGCTGTTGAGTTCTGAAAATCAGTACAGAGTTGTAACAATGGAAGATAATATATATTCTTGGTTCTTTCGGTAAAGTCACTGTAGAAGGGAAACAAGAAAATAACATAAATATAAAACAATAAAATTCTCACGACGTTTCGACTGCAACACAAGCAATCGTCATCAGGTGTGAAAAACAGGAAGAAAAGCTTTAAATATAAAAATGGAAGATAAGCCATTAATTACAGCTGATTGTCCATAGTCCTATTGGAATCGAGACACGTTAAAGTATCGTTTGTCTTAAGAGAGCACTTTTAGTTGTTTCATATCTGGGGCTTATACGAGTCTCGCTTATAGAAGTAATACACCCACTTGCACAGGTACAGTATACAATGTTCGCACGGTTACCACACGTTTTTTTGAAGCGTGGCAGGTGTGCACTTTTTCAACATCTTCCCAGCCGGGCCACACCCAAACAGAATATGCTTCACTCTGCTCCATGCAGTGTGCCTTCCAGATAGCCATCGCAGCCACAGTGTGTTGCACCTTAAACCAGTACCACATTGTGCCATGCAGTTCTATGTATGCAGTAAGCATACAATGACCCCCCCTCCCCACCCCTTGGCAAACATTAGGTCACAATCTACACCAGTGACATCCAAGGCGTGCTTCCTCCCCAAACCAAACATCTCATTAAACATTAAAATGCACATCACACTGTAAAGAAGGATGCAAACACACGCAATAATACATAAAAAATGTTAAACAAATTACACAAGAGGACATGTAAGGTAAGCATGGCGAGTCCACGAGTGGTGGGGGGGGGTGAGTTCGGGAGGTTTGGGGAGCAGCAGCTCCAATGTCTGCAAATAATGGACGCTATCAGAAATATTGAGCAAGTTTATGCAAGAACATCCAAGCATGCGTAGGTCTTCACTTGGTATGAATGCAGGTGCATTATATATTAAAGAAAACTTGGCGATTGGTGAATGTTTTTTTTTATTAAACTTCACCTGGCTCTTCCCAAGCTGCCGTTCAACCGACCTGTTGGTTGAGTCGCAATGCCCAGAGGCTTCTGCCATGAAACACCACGTGTAAATTACATCACGTGTCGTCGTAAAGTCGGGGCTGTATGTTCTGAAACTTGCTTTTCTGCATTTTGTGTTTTATCCAGGGGCCACTTTTTTGGAGTTGAAAAGTCTACCCATTGTTAAGAATGTGGAATCCACCGTCAGGTAAGGAAGGGAATGAGAGATTGAAGAGGCAGATTGGTGTGATTTTATTGCTTTGTGCACATTTAAATATCTTCTGTACTGTTTATACACTTTAAATGACACCAATAAATAATATATTTCTAAGTATTTTAACAAATGAGTATGTTGCCCAATTAATTTTAGGCCACCAGTATCACAAGTTATGACTACATTATTTTAAATAATTTGCTCAGTTACATTTGTGTATGTCCCAGTGAGTAAGCTTCAGTGGCTACAGTTATTGTTATTTTGCTAATTTTGAAGTCAAAGTACTTTTTAATAAACTTTCTATAAACTGATATGAATTATTCTATGGTTCTTTCGGTAAAGTCACGTAGATAGAAAAATAATAATAATAATAAAATAAATTAATAAAATAAAGACAATAAAAACTATCACGTTTTGATTGCAACACAAGCAGCCGTCATCATACTCTTAGGTTTTTTCGGTGAAGTCACGTAGGTAAAAAATAATACTAAAATAAAATAATAATGAATGAAAATAAATAAATTAAATCACGACGTTTCAGAGGGAACACAAGTCTCCGTCTTCAGGTGGGACCGTCACAGCCAAATTTACTGTATGAAGTGTATCGGTCATCATCAGGCAAAAGAGTCAGCTTTTAGAGGCAAGCTGTTTAAGGTTTGGGGATGGGCATAGCCCAAGTGCATCAACAGCACCGGACGTATGGGCGGTGCACTTGTGCGCCGCAACAATGCCAATGCAGCTA